GTTATGAGAGCGGAGGGATGTTCCGCCTTTCCCTCGCAGATTTCTGTAATAAAGTCGTGAACCATATTCATTCGAGTGTTAATGAATCTGAGGTTTGGCATTCACGTCTTTATCACATAAGTTTCGGTGTTATGACGCGGCTAGCTAAGTTGGATTTAATCCCGAGTTTCACTTTAGCCAAAGGTTCTAAGTGCCTGTCATGTGTGCAAGCTAAGCAACCTCGCCAGCCTCACAAGGCTGCGGAGGAGAGACACTTGGCACCATTAGAACTCATACATTCTGATCTTTGTGAGGTGAACGGTGTATTGACTAAAGGTGGAAAGAAATACTTCATGATATTGATAGATGATTCCACTAGTTATTGCTATGTGTATCTGTTAAATACTAAAGATGAGGCTCTACACTACTTTAAAATCTATAAGGCAGAAGTTGAGAATCAACTTGAAAAGAAAATTAAACGATTCCGTTCAGATCGTGGTGGAGAGTACTTCTTGAGTGAGTTTGATTCCTTCTGTGCGGAACATGGCATTATTCATGAGAGGACGCCTCCCTATTCACCCCAGTCAAACGGGGTTGCCGAGCGGAAAAACCGTACTCTAACGGATCTGGTTAACGCCATGTTAGATACGTCGGGTTTATCCAAGGCATGGTGGGGGGAGGCTATATTGACGGCATGTCATGTCCTAAATAAAGTTCCGATAAAGGATAATGAGATCACTCCCTATGAGAGATGGGCAAATAGAAGGACAACACTCTCGTACTTGCGTACTTGGGGCTGTTTGGCAAAAGTCAACATGCCGATCCCCAAAAAGCGTAAGCTTGGACCCAAGACTGTGGACTGCTTTAATTTGGGCTACGCTAAGAACAGCGTTGGCTATAGATTTCTAGTAGTGAAATCTGAGTTACCTGACCAGAAGGTCGGTACAATCATAGAGTCTAAGGATGCTACATTCTTTGAGGATATTTTTTCCTATGAGAGATATGCAAAGCACTTCTAGACAGGAATCTGAGGAGACTCCTAAGCCTGCCATTCCTATGGAATATTATGAACGAACACATGATGAAAATCCTGAGGAGGATGACGAGGAAACCCTTGGTAGGGGCAAGAGACAAAGGACTGCAAAGACCTTTGGTGATGATTTCTTCATGTACCTCGTGGATGATACTCCCACTTCTATCTCAGAAGCGTATGCCTCTCCAGAAGCTGACTACTGGAAGGATGCGGTCCGTAGCGAGATGGATTCCATCATGGCTAACGGGACATGGGAGATCACTGAGTGTCCCTATGGTTGCAAACCATTGGGATGTAAGTGGGTGTTCAAGAAAAAGCTTAGGCCCGATGGTACGATTGAAAAGTACAAGGCCAGGCTTGTGGCCAAGGGCTATGACCAGAAAGAAGAGGAAGATTTCTTCGATACTTATTCACCTGTGGCTAGACTGACCACCATTCTAGTATTACTCTCGTTGGCGGCCTCACATGGTCTTCTCGTCCATCAAATGGATGTTAAGACGGCTTTTCTGAATGGAGAGCTAAATGAGGAAATCTACATGCAACAGCCAGATGGCTTTGTGATAGATGGTCAGGAAAGGAAGGTGTGTAAGTTACTGAAATCTTTATATGGCCTGAAGCAAGCACCTAAGAAATGGCATGATAAGTTCAATACAACTCTGACATCTGTTGGTTTCGTTGTTAATGAGGCTAACAAATGTGTATACTATCGCCATGGTGGGGGCGAAGGAGTTATACTGTGCTTGTATGTTGATGACATACTGATATTCGGAACAAACCTCAAAGTCATTGAGGAGGTCAAGTCATTTCTGTCTCAGAACTTTGAGATGAAGGACCTTGGTGTGGCTGATGTTATCTTGAACATCAAGCTACTGAGAGATAATGAGGGTGGGATCACACTTCTGCAATCCCATTATGTTGAGAAGGTGTTGAGTCGTTTTGGATATTCGGACTGCACACCATCTCAAACACCATATGATCCTAGCGTGTTGATTCGAAAGTCCAAAGGCATGGCTAAAGATCAATTGAGATACTCTCAAATCATTGGTTCACTGATGTACCTAGCGAGCGCAACGAGGCTTGACACACTGTGAGCAAACTGAGCCGGTTTGTTTCCAAACCGGGTGATGTACATTGGCATGCTGTTGAAAGAGTTATGCGCTATCTGAAAGGTACTATGAACTATGGACTTCACTATACCGGAGACCCATCGGTACTTGAAGGGTATAGTGATGCGAATTGGATCTCTGATGCTGATGAGATGAAGGTCACAACTGGGTATATGTTTACTCTTGGAGGTGGCGCTGTTTCCTGGAAGTCTTGCAAGCAAACGATCTTAACGAGATCGACAATGGAAGCAGAATTAACAGCATTAGACACTTCTAGTGTTGAAGCAGGATGGCTTCGAGATCTTTTGATGGACTTGCCATTGGTTGATAAACCGATTCCGGCTATCCTTATGAACTGTGACAATCAGACTGTCATCACCAAGGTGAAGAGTTCAAAGGACAACATGAAGTCCAACAAACACATAAGAATGAGATTAAAAGCTGTCAGAAAATTAAGAAACTCCGGAGTGATAGCGCTGGACTATGTCCATACGGCTAAGAATCTGGCAGATCCCTTTACGAAAGGGCTATCACGTGTAGTGATAGATAGTGCATCGAGGGAGATGGGTATGAGACCCACATGAGTTGCCATGGTGGTAACCCAACCTATGTGATCGGAGATCCCGTGAAGTAGGACCTGGGAAACAAGCTAGTGGTGAACTGAGGAGAGTAACTTTACTAACCCACTCCGTTGGAGATGCAATACTCTCGGAAACTATATGGAAGGATGACTATTGTCTTAATGTGTTCCAAGGCTTATATGTATAAGCAGGATGCTATCCTACAGAGCGATCTTTGGAGGAACACACCTATGTGAGCCCGACTGCTAGTCACAGTCTATGAGATTGGGGTGATCTCTAGCAAGCTCATGAATAGGCTAGGAGTGTGACTTATATGCTCCACCCGAGGGTCAGCCTTCGGCAGCCCAGTACTAGTAAGACATGTGGTGAAACTTCTTTACGCCAAACTGACAATTCAAGGCATAGTCCATTGTTCAGTTGTGAAGGAGTGTAGCTACTTGCTCTAGGTGAAGCTCAACCTTAACAGATTTTCACTGAAACGCTAGTATATCAAAACAACGTTTGGAACAAAGGACAAAGTGGGCCCCTGAGATCTGGTGGGGGGTTGTTGAAATGTGAGATGGGCCTAGAGCCCATATAACAATTTCATATTTGATCTCTAAGGGCCCATGTAGGTGGCATGACAAGGTGGTGGGAAGTTTAGTCCCACCATGCTAGTGGAAGGAAAGTTGGAGTGGTTTATAAGGGTGGCTCTTCTACATGCTATTGGAGCTTGAGAAGAGAAGAGGCCCTCGCGCGCTCCTCCTCCGCCGCCCGCCTCATCACGTCACGTCACGTCACGTCACGTCACGACGCGACGCGGGTTGCGGGAATGAGCCGAGCCGAGCTCACACCTATGCGCTCATTTTTGCCAACGGAGATGTTCTGACAGCAGGGCCACGATCCGAGACGTCGGATCGTGGGCTGTCACGGACTCGGATGTGGGTCAAGCCCACGTCTCTCCACGCGACTGCGTCTATATAAGTGTGTTGTGTCTCCTAACCCTAGCCGCCACGAACAGATCACATCTGCTCACGCGCACGCCCACCGTCGTTCCTTTGCTGCTGCTACCGCCGGTGACTCCATCCCGTCCGCCGCGTACACGGTCGACGGGAGAGCAGGTCTCCGAAACCACACCCTTCTGGTTCCTATACGGGGTGAGGGGCGAATAGGTTTTTGGGCAGCGATTACACGACTGCTCGCTTCCGATCGTCTACTTCCTCTACGTCCGCATCGCCTTCATCATCACCATGTCCACCGACCCCGACCGTGCCGCCGCCGAGAAAGCTGAAGCCGACAAGAAGGCCGCCGAGGACGCCGCTGCTGCCACCAAAGCCGCGGCCTCTGCATGGCCTACTGGAGGGTATAACTCGTTTATCCCGCTCCTGATTAATTTCATATTAGCAGTAGTAGCAGTATGTGTAGATTTGTCTACTGTTTGCTTAGTACGTGCATGTTTAGATCAAAGTCAGTACGTCATCAACTTAGTCAATGCCATGCTAGTGATTTACTCATGGATTAATTTAATCGAGAAATTGCCTATTTACTCAACAAGATCGAGCTCCGGTACCATGTGCGCAGGCACATGTGCCTGCTATCCGTTGTTCGTTACCGGAACTGGTTTTTGGTTTTGTTAGGTTTAACCAGCTCAGAGCAACTCAAACGGAACAACTCTGGCAGAGTCGTGCAGTCGTAATGCATATGAACTAGTGGTTGCGGCGCCACCGGGTGGCGCCGCTTGAGGCATGCATGTGCGGTGGCAGGTAGGTGACCGCACTTTTCATTCACTTTTTGGTGCTATGAGTAGAACATATACATGAAACTGTCGGTCAACTCATGTGGCTTACATGACCAACACAAATAGATTACTTGCAATATACATTTATAAAATAAATCGGAAATATTATTAATAGGTAAGCTTATATGAACATAGAGTAGCAGTCTTACATCCTACAAAGACTTATAAATATAGAGATGATGGACTGCAGAGCCTAAATTTTCTAAACTCAAGCATCCACAAAATGAAATCATCGCATGATGATGATGAATGAATGATAACCACTGAACATAACTCCAAAGACCTAATAAGAAGCCAAGACTATTCGACTAAAAATTTAATTATGAAAGAGATCACAGCAGGCCGATGATCTGAACTACAACCGAGGAGTTCTTTCCTCCTTCTTTCTCTAAATTACATGTCTGCAAATAAGTTTCAGAACAACAGGGATGGCATGGAGTTCCATTGAATGAAAATGAATAAATTATGGCTGACATCTCTGTTTCACCTTCGAAGATGCATCTCACAAGTTGACTATAACCATTCTAGATGCTCATAATCTTTGGAAGTCCATCAAGCTTTGCAGCATGTACAAACTGCATTACTCCGTACGGGGTTTCATTGGAAACACCGATATATTGTGCCTAGATTAGAAGAGACAAACATGGAATTATATACTGGTTTATGGTTACCTGTCTGCTATCTTCGGCTGTCTTATGCATATACTCGTGAATTATTCAAATGTGCGTTTATGAACACAACAATCATATGTTTATAATCTAGAATAAATCTAGTCTATTATTACAACGAAAATGCACATGGTTTTTAAAGAGTGTGCAAAATACATGCACTAAATCCTTCGGAAAAATAGATCCATACTAAGAATGTGTGCTGAAAACAGTGACGACAAAAGGACTCACAGAGGATGGAAAAGAGAACTCAGATTTACAATTTTCAAGTTCAGTAAGGAAATGCAAAATGTGAAATATGATTGTGTATGAATCAATCTGGAACAAGATGTGAAAATTATTCTGAGCAAAAATAATCTTTGAAATAAACACTACCCAGTTTATGTGAAGAATATCAGTGTAGTCTTTAGATAAGCATGAAAGGCTCTTTTTGACACTTTCCTTTATAATGGGACCATCAACACACACCTTTCTGCATTGTACCGATGAAAATTGTGGTCTGAATAACCAGAAATTTTGGTGGCTAAAGTTATCTAGTCGGAAACATAGTGAGCAGGGAACAACAAATGGATTCAGAAGCATGCTATCTGAAGTGGAAATCGGGGAACTCCAAATGGATTAGCAAACTGCAAATAAATTATAAGGCCGGTTTAGGGTACTTTATCTCGTGGCTTGTATTTCATCCACCTGCCTACATACAGATCAGTCCTCCCTTGAGTCTCCTTCTTGGCTTGCATTCAGTAGTAACAACCAATAGAAGTGGAGTATTTCAATTAAAACTGGGATCAACTTCAGAAAATAAGACGGTGGTCGAAGGGAAGGAAGGAATGTGTACCGGCAATTTCTGCGGTGTCCAGTATGTTGATGCCCCGATTAAAAGAATAAGAGAGCATATCATGGGATTCCTTCTCTGTGCTTTGCTCTCCAAGATCATCTAAGAGAAGTAAACATAAGACTAAGATGTAAAAAAACTGGACCAACAACAACAACAGAAACATGATGGTTCAGCTCTGCACATACTGTTCCAAGAGAGATCTGAATCTCATACGACAACTTCGCTGGTTCTGGCTGCGGACACGTCTCGGGTGCCATCTTCGGGAATGTTGGGCACTCAACCCTGGTAAGTATGAGGAGATTGCAGCGAAAGCAAATAGCACCATTTGTCGCGTATACTGTTATCGAATTTTCTGTTGTTGCATATACTGAAACCCTGTTCTTGCACATTCCAACAAACATATCAAGAAGCAAAAAATCAATGCGTGAAATGATGCAAAAATCAGTTTTTGTTTCGTAGATGCCTAAATTCATCTTTGCTCAAGGAGATTCTAGCAAATTATCCTAGTAATTAGCCACATGCAGCAAAGAAACACCAGTATGCAATCACTTTATTCTGCCAAATGTTCAAAAGTTTGGAGAAAATACCATTGTCTTTGCGAAAAGAAACTATCAAGAGGCAAGAACTGGTTACTACAGAGTACAGACTGAAATCTTCATCAACATCACAACAATGCCGATGCTTATAAGCTAATATACCAATAAATCCAATCTATTTAGTCTAGAACATGACAGAGTGGAGAATGAAAGAGCAAAAGAATCAATCTCACCCGACAGAGTCGAGGATGTCGTTGGAGATCTTGGCGGCTCCCTTGTGCAGGTCTCCCAGGCTGTAGGCCGCTGCCGCTTGATCACTGGGTCTCCCCTGACCCCGCAGAAAAGCCTCAACAAAGTCTTGGTTTGCAAGCACATCACAAGCAAATTTATAGACGACCCCAACTGACTCCATTCAGAACTGGGTAATTAAGAGAGGGCGTCAATAGCTGGCAGCTTCATGCAAGGCTGAAAAACGAGAACAAATTCAAATGTGTACGAGTCAGAGAGCAATGAATGGATGATGGACTCACCATTGAGTTGCAGTTGCAGAGGCTGAGCACCGTAGCGAGGGCTCTGTACACAGCTGGCGCGGGCTCGAGGTTGGATCTGATGAGTCGTGCAAGGACAATGGCAACGTCTCCGATGCTCTGCATCGAACCCAACACCCCGACAGAACGCAGCGCCTTCAGTGTACTGATGACCTGCATCTCCACCCCATGCTGTCTCTTTGTTGCCATCATGGAGAATCCCATGATCCTAGATGCCCGAAAGAACAATGGTATGAAATTTCTCAAGACAGGACTAAGCACTACATGATGTTGTGGTTACCAAATGACATTACTTACAAGTTAATGCACTGTAAAAATTAGTACACTTTTTCACAGTAGTACAACTTGCATTTGACGAGAACCCATACGTCTTCCTACAAAATGACCAGCTTTAACCATAGAAATGATAACTATATCAAACATAACTCCTGCCCACTAGACCATTACATAACACATAATGGCAGCCATAGTGCTGAACTTCATCACACTGGTAAAGCACAAAGACAACAAGGTCTTCAGTAAAATCTAACAGGCACATAAGACCAAGAAATGTTTAGAGGCTTTAGAATTTAGCAAATACTCCCTCCGTCCGGGTTTATTAGGCCTAAAGACAACTTCTCTTAGACCAAGACACATAGTAATTTGCTCACATTAATTATTTCATTCCACTCCCAATGCACTCTCTCACATGCATGCAGCCAATGAAAAAGCACACATGAAGCGTATTAACTTTTCAGCCATGGCACCAACAACAATAGCTTTCAATACAACCAATGAAATGGTTGCATGCATGCACCTTTCCAATGTGGGGCCTTATAAAAGGGGACATGTTTGTGATGCTGAGAGGCCTAATAAACCCGGACGGAGGGAGTATGGGATTTAATAAACAAATTACCTTATATTTTGGACAGAAAATAAAGGAGAGGAGGGATATGTAGTCCCTGAGTCCCAATCGCCTTGCCCCTTTCAGCTGCTGCAGGGAAAAAGCAATCGAAAGATCAGCACACACCACCATTCAACCATGCACACTAGAGCAAGCACAACATGCGCACACCACGACAGCTAGCACACACGCACGCCACCGGCAGCACGCGCAGCACAGACGCATGCCCGCTCCACACCACGCCCAGCTGCGACTGCCAACGCCGCCAAGATCTCCGCAACTTTTGCTCCAGTGGTAGAGAGAGAATTGGAAGGAGAGAGAGCCGCCGCACAATCACCTTCGATTTGCAGCCGCCGCAGACGGCCTTCAGCGTGACGACGGCAGGGTGGCCCGAGAGGTGTTGCACAATCTCGACCTCGCGGTGGACCGTGTCCTCGACGTTCTTGGGGATATACCAATAAGCAGTGGTATAAGTGTAAACAGAGCAATGCAGCTATCATGAGAAGCATAAAGAGATGAAGGCATCACAACTCATGGAAGATGAAATGAATACTGGAGTTATTTATTTCACAAGGAAATCAGTAATAAATATCAAATGGCAAAACACATTGCATATATTTGAGCAATAGCACTCTGGCTGTTTATTTTCAGTAGTCACTCACACATTTAGGCAAGGCCGCAAGGCACGTTAGGGGCTGATTAGGTGAGCTAAAAATATACAAATAAAAACATTGCCAGGGTGGATAAAGGGCCACATGTTAGAGATGAGTCAATACAAAAATTAAACAAGTTCTGGCAGAATAACTGCGCTGACAAGAGTATGCAATATTACTTGGCAAGTGTAAACTTCAAATGGCATGTAAAATCAACAATCACTTCCAAATTCGTACAAGTTGTAAAGGCTAGTTATATATGCAATCGAAGTTAAGGGACTTTAGGAGGCGAATCACAACCAAGTTATTAGCAACAAAGCAAAACAAAGTTACCGAGTTACAGTAAAAGCTAACAAAAACTATCAAAAAATCGCATCAACAATATGATATCCGTGCAGCTACAATTCTACTTGGAACTATACAGAAGTCCACACCTTGAACAGCTCAAATCTACAGCCAAGGGAGGGACACGCAGAGAAGAAAATTCTAAACTAAACATGAGCACGATCTCAATCACTACGTCCATAAAGGCTCCTCCGCTGCAGCAGATCGAGAATGACAGGAGGAAGCAGGGAAGGGGATCAAACTCACCCTGTTCTGGTCAACAACGTCGACGATGACGACGAGGCGGCCGTAGTCCTTGCTGTAGTTCACCAGGGCCACCCGCCCGATCAGCACGAACCTCTTGAACGGCAGTACGAGCACAAAAATAAGATACCCATGGTCGACAACCAAGACCACCAGAGAGAAGGCGACAGAGAAGGCCTAACGACGAGTTGGATTTCACAGGTCTTCCTACCATAGATCCGAACGGAGCCGAACTTGCCGTGTCCGATCTCGTCGCCGAGCTCGTGGTAGGAGATGATGATAGGGTTGGGATCTTTGGACGATTGGAGACGCAGAGCAAATCGACCGAGGCTGCGAGCTGGGATGGTGCCGAAGGTGGCGGCGGTGATAACCTAGCCAGGGAGGAGAAAACGAGGGCAAGGAGGATAAGGGAATTGAGGGACGGCTGGGGCCGTGTGTGCGAGGCGTGCGGGCGTTTTCTTTCTTTCCTTCGCACGCGTTTTCTTCACCCTCTCGCACATCCAATTGGCCAGGACAAAGCTCTCTCGCCATTGGCTGTCATGCACAGTACGGGTGTGATGACGTGGACATGTCGAGGGAGCGCTCCTTGCGCGACTCTTATTGGGTTTAATGCTCGATATGCATTTGGAGGATGTCGAGATAACGCATAAAATTAGAATCAATATAAATGCAACCCTTAAAATGGATTGTCACATAAGACCCGTTTAGCTCTATTGTTAAAGGGGTTGTGGATCGTACATCCAACTCTTCCTCTAATCGATCTCCTCTCTCTCTCATCATGCATTAACTCAATCATATCAAATCTTATCAAAATCTTCACTAAATAAAAAAAATATCAATGCATTTCCCTACCTATACTCGAGTCGAATCAAATCTTACCAAAATCTACAAGGAAAACGTTTGGAGCCGGCAGGCCGGCCGAACTTTCGGCCGGTCCTGCCGCTCTTCTCGTGCACACGCATAACAACCGCATGCACACCACGCGTCCCCATCCATTATCCCATACGCACCACATCACGTTCTTATCCCCAGCACCACCCATCAACAGAGGTCTTGTCATCTCGCTCGTGCCTTACCCGCCTCACCTCCTCCCCTCTCGCTTGCACCGCCGTATCCTAGCTCCGGCGAGCCACCACCCCGACGAATCCCCTTTGCTACTCTTTCCCCCTCTCCGACGAGCCTATTCCTTCTTTTTTCCTTGTATCTCCATGAGTCAGCCTCCACTTCCTCCCTTCCCATGACCCCTCTTGCCCAGGGATCGACCACGGACGGCGGACGGTGGAGCAGCTCCACCGGCCACACCTGGAGCTGCAATCGGCCACATTGGGATCGGAGCTGCAGCTGAAGGACGGAGGAGCTGCAACCAGCCACGCCGGGAGCTGCAACCGACGGGCGAAGGAGCTACATGCGGCAGACGAAGGAGCTACAAGCGGCACGAGACGACGAGCGACTACGCAACGACGAGTGCTACAACCGCGTTGCGAGATGTTGGGGCCAACACTCAATTGTGCTACTACCAACGTTTTGGTTTGATGGAACCAACAATTCAATTTTCTTTTTTGCTACCATCATATTTTAGTTTGCTGGAACCATCATCATTATTTGCTCCCACCGGTGTTTTGGGTTTGTTTGGAATTTGGAGCAACTGCAAATTTTGTAATTTTTGCTTCCACCAGCGTTCTATTTTGCTGGAACCAGCTTCATTTTTTGCTACCACCCGAATTTTTGGTTGCCGAAACAGAACACAATTTTTGCAATTTTGCTACCACTGTTTATATGATTTGCTGGAACCAGCGCTATTTTTGCTGGCATCGGCAATCATAGAAGTTACATCCTATGAGATTTTTTGCTACAACGGCAAGAGTTGGCGATGGCGGAGCTGCCACTGTCAATGGATGGGGTTGCAAGCAGCCATGGCTGACCCCGGACCCGTTGATGGTGGGTGCTGCCAGGGGGTCAAACGACAAGGGAGATTGATGACGGGGACAAGGGTGTTCAGGACAGGAGGAGATGCGGTGGTGAGGAGTAGAAAGAGCAGGGGATGGTGGGGAGATGCAGCGGTGATGGCGGCCGACCGCGACAACGCCGGGTGACCGGCAAGGACGGGGCCGATGACGAGCAAGGCGGCGCCAAGGTGACTGGTGAGCGTGGCGTCGTACGTGGCCGCCGGCCGCCGGCGTGGGGGAAGGAAGAAGATGAGGAGTAAGGAAGAAGACGACGCGATGGGATCCATATCCAACGGTGGGACGCGACTAATCGAGCGGTTGGAGGCTGACTCGCCAAATTTTTTGGCCGGCGCGCTGACGCTTAGTAGTGCCCAATCTACAATATAATGGGTGTGAGATTTATGTCGGACGTGATTGAACTTACACAATGATGTCAAACTAATAGAATATGTATGCCTCCGTTGCAATGCACAAGCAATTAGCTAGTTGGTAACTAAAAACATCTTCCTTCCCCACCTCAACAATGAAAGTTTTTCAAAGCCAGAATTTAGTAACATAGATTTACGAAAATGGTTTTCAAGAAGAATTATTACAACCAGTATTTGAACAACCTTAAAACTACAATTCTCTGCTAACTGAACTTAAATGCTCTTCCTCCTCTTGGAAGTGACCTTATACACAGGTGACGCTTCAGCTGCCGCATGCATGTGTGTTCTCGATGCGGCAGACTTCCACATTTTTTAAGGCCGACGTGAATGTGGATTTCATTTCTACGTAGGTGGATGTAGAGATGC